CTTCATTTCTAACTTTATCACGTAGAGAAACCCCTCTCCAATTTAAAATTTTTACATTTTTTAGATGATAGTTTGTCTAACATAAAAAAAAACCACAAACCCAAGAATGTCTTTATATAGTTATTTATACTTAGGTAAGCACCATTCTTTTATTTATTTAAATTGTTTGATTTAATTTGATAACAGTGTACCTAAATGTAAGTATCTGTATCTTTATTTCTCTCCCCAATAATATTTTATAAAGTCATACTTATAAAAACAGCGTTTTATTGTAATACATAATTATAAAATTCATTATCAACTAATTAATAAAAATATCCGGCAATAAAATTACATACGTATTAAAAACGATCGAAATCTAAGTAACGAGAGCATGTTCGTCGTTCCACATCTAAATTATATAAAAATGCATTTTTCAATTTCACTAATCAACGTCGCCGCAAAAATTTCTTCTTCTTTGGGCACTTTAAAAATTCATTTATTTAGAAAATAATATTTACAGTTACAAGTGTACAGATATTAACTAAATTAAGTATTTCTAGTCATAAAAATATTTATAATTGAGTATAAACTTTTAAAAAACTAATATATATTTGAACGAAGTCGCTCCAACACCGACGTGCGGTCCACCCTCGACGATGTCCGAAAACGGACTGTGACAGAGCTTATATGGCGACGGAGCATGCGCGCTCGCGTAAATATATTCAATTTCAGGGAAAAATGATATATTCTCTTATAAAACGGGTAATAAAAATAAAACTCTCAATTAAAAATATTAATATTTTTAAGACCTTTTTTTTAGTGTAAGAACTATTTAAAAAGCTTGTGCCGTTTTGGAGAAATTTTGCAAAATATGACAAAGATAGGTACTCTTTGGGGATTTTTTTTCTAATAAGGGGTTGGCAAAAATACAATTTTGTTAAATTAAAAATATTTACCAAATCTTCTTCTGTTACCTTGTATTTTTTCTTTGTGGATTAAATGAACAGTTATTGAGATTTTTTTACTTAAATATCCTAGATTTAGGCATTTCAACCACTGTTAAGGCCTTAAATAACAGGTACGGGCTGCAATCGCAATATGCGTTGGGAATTTTTAAAATTTTATACGACTTTTTAGTCTTTGATTGAGCAATGTGCACTACGTGAATGTTTTGTAACATTAGAGCTAATAAATATTTTTTTACGGATTTTATGGCTTATAGTTTTTTTTCTTCATAGAATAAGGGTGATAAGCGCACTGTTTACCAGATAGTAAGGGATATAGTATCCCTTACTATAATAGATAGATAGTAAGGGATATATTATCCCTTACTATCTATCTACTATAGTATTAACCAGATAGTAAGGGATATATTATCCCTTACTATCTGGTTAATACCGGGAAGGATATAGTAGTGGTCTGTACACATCTAAGTCTATCATCAATTAAGAATCAAAACGCAGATGCGTTGTCGCCCCTGATGACTAAGATGGAATGTTTCGTTAGCAGTGAAAGGGGTCTGCGGTTCTCTGGTTCTGATGGGTTCTGATGCTGGGGCTGCGAGGGGAGAGGAGTGTCGGTATTGCGAGGCGCCGCTCTCCCTACCCTCCGCAGCCGAATATTGTTTGGCAGCGGAGCCATAGTCCAGATCCGCCGCTGGGGTCAGGAAGGCTGGTGCTTCTGAGTGCTAGTTTTTCCTGGCTGCATGGCCTTCGCGCATTGGACACGGGGGCGTCCGTTGCGCATGTGAAATTTGAGGTCGAGGAGGAGGGCGCGCCAAGTGTTCTGGTGCGCCTTACCTGAGAAGGAGATGGGGAGGAGTAGTCCTCTTCCGAGGAGAGGCCGCCATGGGGCGGCCAGCGCAGGTGGGGCCGCGGATGTGTGGACACCATGGGGTTTTAGTCGGTGCGAGTCCGACATATTCCGTCCTTGCCAACACGAGTCGGGTATGCATAGGCATTTCCCCATGTAAAAAAAAGTTTGGAAACTTTTGAGGTTATTATTTATTGATGTTAAGGCTCATAAAAAAAGAATCCTTAGTTGATCATCCTCCATATAAAATGCCTCATAAAAGGGGAGGTACTCTCCTCCACAGTTTTCAGCACTCTGTTATGACTAAATGTGGTGTATTTTAAGAATTATCTTGTTTTTTCTGTTAATATTTATTTATTTTTCATAATACGACTATTACTACACGGTATACTTTATCTATAAACATATAATCGTCACTGCGCTTTTTACTGATCGTGTAAATTTTTCACAATTTGATCGATTGAGTTTATATTCTTACACTTTTATATTTTGTTTTAACAAGACTTTGGTTTATAGCTATGATAGGATTCGATAGATGTTGTAGTCAAGTTATTAACAGATTTTGTAATAATTCACTAAACTGACTTACACTTGCAAATATATGTTGCGGCTCCGTAGTGCAGTGGCTAAGAGTTTGGTCGTGAAACTGCTGGGGTTCGAGTCCCGCACGAAACATGCTACGTATTTTTGGTTTTATGAGAAATTATAGAGGGATATTCAGACATATACCCGAGACACATATCTTGGAAAATTCTTCTGCATTTAGGATTATTAAGTAGAATGTTTGATAAGATTTGACCACATTTTATCAGTCACGGAGTGAGTCAGGTGTTACAGATGATGCAGGTACTTATAGTACAAAGATGAAAGTTGAGTATTTATTTATTTATTTATTTATTTATTTATTTATTTATTTATATATTGTGCAGCGTTACCAGCGGCACCGACCGCTTTTAAACAATCTACCATGAAACGTAGAGATTATATTGTAGCTACTTTACCCATTGTTGATACGTAGACGTAATTTACTTATAATGATAAACTACTACACAGGATTACTTATAGTGATAAAAATCTTCACAATATAGGCCATGATTATTGAAAGACAGTGTAACGTTTTATTTTAAATAGTAAATGTTGATTATTTTTTAAAAGTTGCTTATTGCCAAAAAGAAAATCATTTGTCGGCCAACTAAAGAAAAGGGCAGAACAACGTCGTCGTTTACTGGGCCAGCTAGTATAATATCTTATAGATTGTGTTGTGCTGCGATTGTTGTATTCTCTCGGAGGCGGTATCTTAGTTTACCTCTTATCTTAATAGCTTTTAATCGAATACTGAAAAAAGACTAATAAATATACTAAAATATATGTGCTATATTAATTATTATTAAATATTCTATTATTATCGTATAATTACTCCTATTTATTTATAAGATAATATTGAGAATGCTTAGTAATTTATTAATATTTCATTAACTACCCATCTCGTTTAAGTCATATTGAAAATATCCAGATCGGTGACGGGCAACAGCGTTAAAAGTGCATACCGTCTGGTTCATGTCGGTATGATTAAGGCATATCCTCTTCTTAAAGGCAAACGTGAAAAGTAGACTTTCACAGCCTGGTAATTGAGATGAAAAAATTGATAGTCAACTAATAAAGTCAGGAGCTATATTGCGGAAATTCATTATATTAACGAGATCGCCCAGGAGAACCTACATTAATATTTTATTATATTATGGAAACCCTAACCTGTAAAATAAAATGATGTATATTACCTAGGTTCACAAATCGAAAGGGGGATAGGGAGAGTGTACGCAATTGAGAAAGGACGGGAGGTGCCATTTAAACCTGGTAAAACACATCATTTTATTTCATTATGCAGATTTCTTTTATTATTGTAATTCACCATCTCATCTTATATAAAGCTTTGATAAAGCGTAGTATGCTTTTCCGTAGCATATTTCATTATACTTCATCATCTCATCTCATATAAAGCTTAATGTGCTTACCATCATTGCCTTATCACCACTTTCCATCTGGTGGGAGAGTTGTCTAGCACTGGCTTAAAAATATATGAAATTACAAATTGAAACCAATATTAAACTTCAAAACTTTACTAAATCATTTTTCAGCTAAAAACCGCTAAAGACGACCAGTTGTTTTACTCTTAAAACGTAAATTGGCAAAAATCCACACTGCTGGGTGCAATTTCCTTTTGCTGCCAAATTGAGCTATAAATTTTCCTTACTTGCATTCTGCTTGGGTAATTACGCGGGTTTTTAAAATTATTTAACACTATCATTGAATAAAACTATTTTTACGAATTGTATCGTGTTTAATTTTAATTACTTTTAATTCAACCTTGGTCACCGTGGGGACTGAGGTGATTGACGTTCCTATCTCAAAGTTAACCTGGAGTACCTACATCTTTTTAATTAATCACACCAGCACTACACATGTTATTTAATGTGTGGTGTTCGCGTAATTATAAGAAAGAATAATTATGTAAGCTTCCACTGTATATTTCAACTTATTTTTAGGCCAGTACTTTACACAAACCCATCTGATGGTAAGTGGTGATGACGCCTTAGATAGAAAATCGTACTTAATATAAGAAAATCCTATTCAATATTGCATTTATGACACCCAAGTTGTAATCAGACGAAAAGACAGACGCCGGCGACTTATTCCACTCCTTTTTCGTATTGCGAAAGACGAAGCAAAACGTTTGTTTGGAATGCGTGAATAGTCCGATAGTAAAAAGGGGAAGATGGAATTAAGGCGTGTAATTCTGTGAAAAATAACTAAATTACTTTTAAGTAAAGCGAAGAATCCTGTTAACATTTATTGCAGTTTGTTTATGCAAATCCACCTCAGGACTGTATTCTCAACGATTTTGATCATCACAAACATTCGGCGATTTATTTTCACCATAATATTACTCGGAGTGTGACCTTTCTTAGCAGGAAACATTTCTAGGTGGTAGAGCTATTTTATGGCTTCAGCACAAATGAGGCCGCTCGCTTGGGCAAGAACCACGCTCTCACAGAATACAAGCTTGAAATAGCAACAATATTACATCTTTATTCTCAGGGTAGACAACACATCCCCCCCTAGGGGCAAACAAGACGGCGGCGCGGCCGGCAACGGCTTCTTACGCGACGGCCACGGCTGCCGCATCCAGGCCGGAGCCGTCCAGCCAGCCCTCGGGTGGGGATGCAGTTGCCCCTCCCCCCCCTGAAAAGCCGGCTCCGGCAAAACCGATACCGGCTGAACCGGCTCCGACTAAGCCGGCGACGGGAAAGAGAGGCAAGGCGAAGGCGAAAAAGGGCAAGGCGGCAGCACAGGCGATGGCTGCGCCAGCCCCAGTGCCTGCGGCGAATGGGCCAGCGCCAGCGGCAAGCCAGCTGCCACCGCCGCCACCGCCCCTCCAGCTCCCTACACCTCCCGCGGCAGAAGCCGGTTGGCAGGTGGTCGGGGACAAACAGAAGGGGAAGAAGGCAGCCAAAAAGGCCAAAGAGCAGGAGCGGCAGCGCCAGTTCAGGGCGCGCAAGATCGCGGCTAGACCTGCGCATCATGGGTCTGGACGACTCGGTATCGGAGGAGGAGTTGGTGGCCGCCGTCGCCAGGTCCGGGGGGTGCACTACTGACCAGATCAGGTCAGGCGCGATACGCCCGGATCAACGGGGTATGCATGCCGCCACGGTGTGCTGCCCTGTTACGGCGGCCAAAACCATAGTGGAGGGCTGAAGGCTTCTGGTGGGCTGGGTCTCAGCGCAGGTAAAGCTGCTGGAGCCCAGACCTCTGAGGTGCTACCGCTGTCTCGTGGGGCATCATGTGGGGCGCATGAAATGCGCCTCGGAGGTTGACCGCAGTGGCCTCTGCTTCCGCTGCTGTCAGCCCGGACACATATCGGCGACCTGCTGCGCCACGCCGCACTGTGATGCATGTGCGGCGACCGGCAAGCCAGTCGATCACTGGGCCGGAAGCAGGGACTGCGTGTCACCCGCCAAGGCTAAGGCCGCGGGTAGGGGAGGGCCCTCCTCCGCCGCCACCGTCTCTATGGCCGCCTCTATGGCCACCGCCGCAGCTGCAACTGCCGCCGCCGCCGCTGTCACTGTCGCCGCCGCCGCCGCCGCGACACCGACGCCTGCAGAGAGGCGCCCCGTGGAGGAAGCTGAAATGGAATGCCTATAACGGCCCCATTAAGCTTCCTCCAGGCGAGTATCAACCACTGCGCCACTGCGCCTTCGCTCAGGATCTGTTGCTCCAAAGCATGGCGCAGTGGTCGATTAACATCGCTGTGGTCGCTGAGCCGTATTTTGTCTGGCCTAGGAAGGACTGGGTGGCGGACCTTAACGGCTCAGTGGCTATCATTTCTTCGGCCGCCGCCGGTACCCCGACCCTTGAAGGTGTCAGGAGGGGTCTGGGGTGCGTAGCAGCACGGTTCGGGGAGTTCGTCGTTGTGGGGGTGTACTTCTCCCCGAACCGATCTCTCGCCGAGCTCCACAACTCTCTTGCATAGCTGAGAGCAGTCGTCGTCGGAAGTTATCCCCTCCCCATGCTTGTCCTCGGGGACTTCAATGCCAAGAATTTGGCTTGGGGTTCTCGTCGTACAGATGTGCGGGGTAGGATGGTGGAAGACTGGGCTCTGGAGACAGGCCTGGTCGTCCTAAATCGGGGTTCTGTCCCCACGTGTGTGCGGATGCGAACGAGTCGGTGGTGGACATTTCGTTCGCTAGCCCCGCTCTGTCGCCGCGTGCCATTGACTGGCGAGTCATGGAGGGGGTGGAGACCTACTCCGACCACCGGTACATCCGGTTTGACGTCTCCACCCAGCCCTCGAGCGCGCCAATCCAACAGGCCCCGAGTGGTCCGCGTTGGGCGCTGAAGCAGCTGGACCGGGAGCTCCTCCTGGAAGCCTCGATCGTGCAGGCCTGGGTGTCATCATCGGATAGGCCTGCCGACGTCAATGATGAGGCGGGCTGGTTCCAGGAGGCCATGTCCGAGATATGTGACGTGGCAATGCCCCGCGTCCGACCAGGAAGCGCCCGGCGTCAGGTGTATTGGTGGTCGGGTGAGCTGACGTTCGTCCACCGAATGCGGCAGCCATTGAGGCGGAGCTGTACGAGGGATACAGAGCGGCGAAGACCGCCCTCCGGGAGGCTGTCATGCGGGCCCGGGATCGGGCCCGTGAGGAGATGCTAGAGACTCTCGACAGAGATCCGTGGGGGTGCCCTTACAAGATGGTGCGGGATAAACTCCGCACCTGCGCCCCCCCGCTGACGCAGAGTCTCCGGCCTCAGCTCGTGGAGGACGTGGTGAGCGCTCTGTTTCCTACGCGAGGGGAACATCCGCCCCCGCCTATGGCTCCGCCACCTGCGGTGCCGGAAGCGGACCACCAGGACGACGACGACGGCATCCCGGAAGGGACCGGGGTAGACCTGAGAGTGGCGGTACGTAGGCTCAAGGCCAGGAATACCGCCCCAGGATCCGATGGCTTGCCTGGCAAAGCCTGGGTCCTGGCCTCAGAGGCTCTCGGGCCCCGACTGGAGGGGCTCCTAAGCGCATGCTTGGAGAGAGGCCAATTCCCGCTTCGTTGGAAGACGGGGAAGCTGGTCCTCATTCGGAAGCCGGAGCGCCCTGCGGACTCTCCGTCCGCATACCGGCCCGTGGTGCTGCTCGACGAGGTGGGCAAGCTCTTTGAAAGAGTCATTGCAAACCGCCTCGCCGAGCACCTTGCGGGGACGGGGCCGGATCTTGCGGAACACCAGTTTGGTTTCCGCAAGAGGCGCTCTACGGTGGACGCCATCATGCGCGTGAGAGCCCTCACGACGGGGGATGCAGTGGCCAGGGGGGGGGGGTTGTTTTGGCGGTGTCTCTCGACATCGCCAACGCCTTCAACTCCATGCCCTGGAGCTGCATTAGGGAGGCACTCCGGTATCACCGGGTGCCGACCTATCTCCGTCGTATAGTCGGGGACTATCTGACGGATAGGGCCGTCATCTACCCCGGTCGCAACGGTGAGTGGAACCGGCGAGAGATGTCGTGCGGTGTCCCACAAGGTTCGGTTCTAGGGCCGCCCCTGTGGAACATCGGTTACGACTGGGTGCTGCGCGCCGACCTCCCTACCGGCGTCAGCGTAGTTTGCTACGCTGACGACACGCTGGTACTGGCACAAGGAGGGTCGGGGTACGAGGCGGCGGCGGAAACTATGACACGCGGGGTTGCGATAGTCGTTGAGAGGATCCGGCAGCTGGGTCTTGAGGTGGCTCTGCACAAGTCCGAGGCCATGCACTTCCATGGTCCTCGGAACAGGCCACCACCGGGATCCTCAGCGATGGTAGGAGGGGTATTTTGGCGTCGAGTCGACGTTGAAGTACCTAGGACTCGTCCTCGACGGCCGATGGAACTTCGTTGAGCACTTCCGACGTTTGGCTCCCAAACTGGAACGGACCGGGGCTGCCTTCAGGCGGCTCCTGCCGAACCTGGGGGGGCCAAACGCCTCCTGCCGGAGGCTCTACGCGGGGATTGTGCGGTCCATGGCCCTTTACGGGGCCTCGGTGTGGGCGCGTGGTTTGGCGCGGCTTGCCGTCCACCACCTGAACGCGCCCCAAAAGGTGGTTGCCGTGAGAATGGTTCGCGGCTACCGCACGATCTTCCGCGAGGCAGCGTGCCTCCTTGCCGGATTGCCGCCATGGGATCTGGAGGCGATAGTCCTCGCGCGCCTGCACGAATGGCGCGCAGAGGCACTATGCCGGGGGGAAACCCCGCTGCCACGGCAAGTTGTCGTGCAGCGGTCAGACTTCCGGCATAATCTCATGGCGACATGGAGAGAGCGACTGTCGCAACCCCGTGCTGGGCACGCCACTATAGCGGCGATAAGACCCCTCTTTGAAGAGTGGCTTGAGAGACGCCACGGCGTCCTCACCTTCCGCCTGACGCAGGTCCTCACCGGACACGGTGTGTTCGGGAGGATCCTGCACCGAATCGGGCGGGAGGAAACGCCCGGGTGCTCCCACTGCGAGGATCGACCGGAGGACACGGTGGAGCACACCGTGGAGGTGTGCCCTGCCTGGGCGGAGCACCGCCGTGTCCTCGTAGCGGCGATAGGCGGCGGCGACCTCTCGCGTCTGGCCCTGGTCGAAGCCATGGTCCGGAGCGAGACGGAATGGGATGCCGTCACCACCTTCTGCGAAGCAGTGATGCTAGCGAAGGAGGTGGCGGAGCGGGAGAAGGAGAGAGCAGCAGCTTTCCTTCCCGGCCGTCGCGGGAGACGCCCCGGGCGTCGGGGGCTACGTCGTGGCCCCCGGCCACCGTAGGCGGGGGCCTGTGGACGGCGAGCAATGGGTAGCTCGCCTTCCGTCCGTCTAACGACGACAGGCCGTGTCAACGGCGCGTTTTGTTCCACGCGCCCCTCAAAGAGCTGTCAGCAGCGTGAAGGGGCCCGCAAGGGCCGACGCCTGCCGGGGCTGCGGGCTGTTCGAAAGAGATACCGCGGCTCCGGAACGTAAGGGCACTGAAGGAACACGGATGGTTTTTAGTCAGTAAAAGTCTGACACTCCCTTCCGCTTCACCCAGAGCGAAAGGCGTCATTTGATGATTTTCCATCCGCAAAAAAAAAAAAAGGGTAGACAACACATATACATTTTGATTTTCAATCGAGGATCGATATAGGAGCTATTCTGTCTCATTAATTTAGCAATAATTAGACTGTGTTTACTTTTGTTAGCTTTATTCTATAAAAATGAAATATACACACACCAACAAAATCTTCCAGAGTTTCCATCAAAAAATATATACAGATTTAAACCTCTTTTATTCTATTTTCAAAATTTAAAATCGTAAATAAAAGAAAGAAAAGAAAAGACAAAATATGGCGACAAAATTTACGTAACGTTACGTCAAAGAAAATTAAAATTGTTTTATTATTATTTTATTACCTATATAATTATAGAAAAGAAAAAAGTTATGATATTAATGAATGAAAAGAGATTAAATTGTTTTTCTTTTTAATTTAACGTGCCTTGTGAGCTTTAAGAGTCATGTCACGTCTTCATTTAAGACGAGATGAAATGTTACAAATCATGGGCATGTTAGAAAATGGTGCTATTCAACGCGTGGATGCTGAGGCCCTACACACAAGCCATAACATGATATCAATATTGTGGTTACGTTATCGCATTACTGGGGATGTGACTGAACGGCACACGGGATACCGTATTACTACACATAGACAGGATAGATTTCTCCAAATGACCGCCAGAAGATAATCCAATATCACAGCGGTGCAACTACTACAAAGGCTCCAGGAGAGCCATTAGCTGCTGGTAAGCGAACAAACCGTGCGAAGGAGGTTGCGTAATACGAGTATTGCTTTTCATGTTCGAAAACCGCTACGTGTTCTAGCATTGCGACGTGGCAATCACGGTCGGCGGCTTATGTGGGGTCGGGAGTTACAATAGAGTTATGAACAATGGGTTTTAGTGCTTTTCAACGATGAGTTCCAGTTTGGGTTTTGTGAACACGCGTTCGGAGAACAACAGGGAGAGTTAGCCGTCTACGGCCAGGGAGTCCTCTCATACCAGGGCGGGATAACCAGGGCAACATGACTGCACAAAAATACCACGAGAAGGTAGTAGAGCTTGTTATTGTCGCACACAGAATCCAAATGGGCCAGGAATTTCTACTCATGCACGTTAATGATCATTCCCAAACGACGCGGCTGGCATCGGCCGCTCTCCAAGACCACGATATTCAAGTTTTTGATTGGCCTGTACAGTCGCCCAACTTAAATCCTATCAAGCATGCCTAGTACATGTTATAACGAAAAGTTTGGAGAGATTTCCCGCCAGATTTGACGACGGAACAACAACTTTACGAACACTTGCAAAGAACATGGGATCTCATAACGCAGCAAGATATTGACAATTTAATTTTAAGTATGAACAATCGATGTCGATGTGTAATTAATGTAAGATATGGCAAAACTGATTATTATTAACTGGATTTTATAAGATTTTTTAATTAAAATTAAAATTAATAGTTTTATAAGAAGAAATGAAGTCTTTTTATCACAGTAATTTTCTACGGCGATTAAAAAAATTAATATTTTTATTTAACAAATAATTACGAAATGTTTTTTACATTTAATTAAATACCTTAAAATAAATTATCAGTCTTTCATTTACTATATGAGAAAATTTTTCTTTGTTTAAATATAAAATATCCCTAGATTCTGTTGATGTGTGTTTATTCATCATATAAAAGTCCACTGGACATGTTTCTCTCCCGTTCTAGAGAGAATTTGCCTTAATCGCCGCACTTGGCAATCGAATAGTCAGTCGCAGCAGACGTCTGGCACTTTTGACGCAACTGCCGTCAGATTTATAAAACCAAATTAACTTTTTTACTAGATTTAAAAAATAAATAATAATAATTTTAACACACAAAAAGAAAATCACACAAATAATTTTTTTTTTAAATTTGATTACCTTTAGTACAGAATACGAAATGTGCAAACAGTGATCTTGACTCCTAGGCTAGGATAGCCTGTTACAAAATGAGTAATGTGTAAGTCAAAATATTTAATAACTTCATTGAATGTTACAAGTCAATAAATTTTGGCAAAAATGAAGTATTAAAAAGTAATACAGTATCTTCTTTTATAATATTACATAAAATTAACAAAAGAAAGCTCCCGATCTGCAATTTGCAGTAAAACAATCTGTGAAATATCCACCGGGGTTGTTGTAAAGTGCCAAAACTTGATGCCAAATTGTTTGAAGGCAATATTTCAAATACCTCCTTATTTCAAATATTGACTACTTCGGATATATTTTAATATGGTAACATTTCCTCATTCTGTAGATTGATGGAGTATCAGGGGATATGACGGTGTTGACACTTGATTGAACAAAATAATATACTAAGAGCATCGATATGTAGGAGTTTGGAAACAAATGTATAAAATAAATTGCTACGAAATTTCTTTCGACATGAAATGAATACTCTTGAGTTTTTTTTCCTTTTCTGCTGACTTCCAAAAAGGAGACGGTACTCAATTCGACTGTATGTTTTTTATATGTGTGTTACGTCATAACTTTGTACTGGGTGAACCGATTTCGATGATTCTTTTTTTATATGAAAGCTGATAGTTCTCGTGTGGTCCCATATGAATTTAATCAAGGTCAGACTAATAGTTTTTGAGTTATTTTTAAATAACTTATATTGTAGTCGGCTGTACAAAATTTTTAATTTTAAATTATTGTAGGGTAGCATCAAATGAGCATGGGCTCATTCGATGTTAAGTGATCAACGCCGCCTATTTGCAACACCAGTGGAATCGCATATGCATTACTGAATTTTATTGAGTTTTTATCAGAGGGACATTGATCTGTGGTGGGTTTCTTTGTAGTTAGCTGCAGGTGTGCATGGGTTTTTCTACTTACCATTTATTTCTTACACAATTTAACGTAAAAAAACTAAACATACATTCTCTGAAATTTGTTAAACTTTCAATTTCTATTGCATTAAATATTTTAGGATAAAATTTTTATCAGAAACCATATGAAAATATGGATTTTTTTCCAACGTCGGCTCAGTAATATTTAATTAATTGACAAATCCGCTGTCTAATTTACTAATGCCATAGGATTTGAGTCTCGGTAAAAAAGCATTTATGCTTATTTTTTACATATTTTCTATACTAAGTTGATGGAGTCGACCTAAATAGAATTCCATTAACTCATTTCAGCCTATCGAAGTCCACTGCTAAATATTGGTCTGCCAAGAAAATCCCTCATAAGAGGATATTTGGTTAGAAACCGCAGTTTTTTTTTTCTAGTTGTTATTAGAAAAATATTTCTGCCCATCTACTGGTTTGTTTCCCTCAGTCGTCTCTTACGACACCCACGGGACGATATCGGGTAATGGATATTCTTACATCGCTACTACACGGTTTAATATCAAGGAT